ATCTATTTACCTATCTATCCATCTATCTAGCTAGCTAGCTAGCTAGCTACATATCTATCTCTCTCTTTCTCATATCTGTATCTGTATCTGTATCTGTATCGGTATCTATCTGTATGTATATATATATATATATGTATCTCTCTCTCTCTCTGTCGCTATCTTCCTATCTATCTATCCATCTATCTATCTATCTATCTATCTATCTATCTATATGTGTCTCTCTGCCTGTCTGTCTGTCTGCCTGTCTGTCACTGTTCGTGTATCTTATGTATGCAGGTATGTCTTGAAGACTGCAAGCCTGCACGTCTGCATGTCTGTATTGGTGTACATCTGTGTGTATACATGTCTGCTTGTAGTGTGTATTTATGTATGTATGTATGCATGTATGTATGTATGCAAGTTGCCCCGAAACCTCGCCTGCATTGACGAGTGCAAGTGCTAAAAGTGTATGCACGTGAGTGTCATGTATGTGATGTATGGATGGATGCATGCATGCATGGATGGATACATTGTATGTACATGTGTATGTCTACATATACAGATATTCATATATTGGAGATCGAGAGGGAGAGGGGGGGAGAGAGCGAGAGGCAGACAGAGACAGACAGAGACAGACAGACAGAGACAGACAGACAGACAGACAGACAGACAGACAGACAGACAGAGAGAGATAGAGAGCGAGGCTGGGCGGGCCAAGAGCCTGAGGGTCGCGCAGACGACCCCTAAGCCCAGCAGAAAGAAAGAAAAGCGAGAGAGAGTGTGAATATTACTTTCTCGCACTTGTGCAGGTGGCTGGGCTCGATCCACCCAAGCGGAGTGCAGGCTACGAGGCCTTGCGGGCTTTCTGTCTGAAGTGGATGCGGGGTTTGGGCAGGTGCCCCGGACTCATATGAGGAATACATACCTACAGACATACATACATTCTAAATAGCTTTGCGTGTATATGTATACACACGTGCATGCGTACATGCACCAATACATGCAGCATGCATGCATACATATATGTTGAGGTTTCATACATGTGTACATGCATACCTGCATACAAACATGCATACAAGCACATGTACATATGCGCTTACATACATGCACGCATACGTTAAGGTACAGTTCATAACGTTGCGCTCCACACCGCATAGGTATCGCACACAAATGTATATACGGAAGCATATGTTCATGTCACGCTAGCCGCTAGCGGAGAAACTGTACAGCTCATACAACATAGTAAAGACCATGTCTGCTTGCAAATCCAAGGGGGGATCCCAGGTGAAGGTCTCCCGAACGGCCTGTGCAGTCCACGATGGTGACCTCAGGAACGGCAGCAAGACAAATTGTAGCGTCTTGTGATTGTCCCTCTGTTGGTACAAGCCCTTAGTGTCTACAACAGGAGGGTCGGACGAACAAAGAAAATTTCGGCAAACTCAGGCCGAAGAGCTTAAGCCAGAAGCGGGACAGCCGCTTCTCCCGACAGCGGCCAGACACAGACTCTATCATATCGAAAGTTCACACATCCATCGAGCCCTGAAATTACGTGGCGTTGCGTCTTCAAAATATGCGGTGGCTCAGGGAAGGTGCCACGTCACCTCCACTGCCACGACCCATGTAATGCGCAATCTCATGCGCAGGCTCCAGCGCCGCGCAGTCGGGAGGAGCGACTTGAGAATGTCATGAGATGTGCTGAAGATGCAGTTGTCCATGCTGCGGATGGCTGTGCTGATGTTATTAATCAATAAAGGTGTGCCGTCCTAAGTGTTGACTTGGCCCATCTATTCCGATACAAGCTTGCCACGTCGTGGCGGAAAGTGCAGCCTCCTCCCTATTCGTGCTGAAAATCAACTGTCCATGCTTTCCTTTGCTGCCTTCGTATGTTCATCTGTGTCAGGATTTGTGACAAAGCCATCTGGCGCCGTGGTTCTAGCAAGGTTTTGGTGGTCCGTCAGCAGGGCTGTCATTGAAACAGGCCAAAGTGTCAGTTCGCACCATCTAAACCTAAACCCCACTCCTACAGTATTCCGTGCTTTGACGTGCTTATTATTATTATTATCATAAGTATTATTGTTATTATTATTGTTATTGATATTATTATTATTATTGTTATTGTTATTGTTATTGTGATTGTTATTGTTATTGTTATTGTTATTTTTAGTATTGTTAAATCTTTTCGGCCCTCTGGCCCCACGACTTCCAGGAGCGGCTTCGCGATTTCTATGCCCAGCGAGAGAAACGACTGGTGGAGGCCCGATGAAAGAGGTTCTTATATGGGGGGTTTATAGGGTTTAGGGTTTCAGGGTTTAGGGGTTTACAGGCCGCTGAAAGAGGTTCTTATATCGGGGGGGCCTGCTACTACCCATAGGCCCCTAAGTAGTTCCTCTTTATGGTTTATGGTTTAGAATCCTATAAGGTAATCCCCAAAAGGGCTGAAAGAGGTTCTACCTACACTCTCCATTGTAGTTCCTTTTTTTAGGTTTAACCAATTTTATGATCCGAAAAGGTAACCCCAAAAAAGGAACTACAATGGAGACTATACGTAATATGGGGGCCTGTTACTATTCTTGTTACATTGGGTTCCTCAGTATGGACATATTTGTACTGGAAGATGCCCCCAAACCCTATTTTAGTTGTCAAGCCCGCTATGTTAGATTGATGTGCCCACTGGGAACATACGGAAAAATGGCCTTGGAGCACGAAGCCCGAGCTGCCAAAGGTGTACGACACAGTAGAACGCAACAGCCTCCAAACCGCAAATGGATTCATTCCTTTGTGAGCTGGCCTTGGCTAAGAATCTGAAACACCACACATCTTATTCTGCTTGCGAACCAGTGAAAGTCGGAAAGTCGGAACGCTGGGTCTCGTTTGCAACACTGAGAACCTGACGTCATCGAGGTTTTGGACGTGCGAACTGCATACCCAAAGTCTTGGCTAGACACAGTCTTGAAAGTGATGCGAGGCCACTCCAGAGAAGACCCTCCGAAGCAGAGAGGAGACAGCTGTGCCTGTGAAGGAGAAGGCCCGTCCGCAGCTAACAAATTGAAGAATGAACTGTTTGGGACACACAAAGCCTAAGGCGCCTATACTGCTCCTAGTGCAGAAGTCCCGTTGGATTTTGTTTAAGATGTTATGTGCCAAATGGCCTTATAGCAAGCGCGAGTTTGTACGTCTACCCTATTTTCAGGGTGCTGGAAATTCTGGGAGAGCTGGAAGCTTGAGGAATCCATCACAAACAATTTCTGGGACGACAAACCGTTCAATCATCCATCGGGTAAGTTTCAATCATCATCCGGAACGGATGCTCGCATGCTTGCTTCCAAGATCAGAGACTTCGCCGTGGTGGAGGATACCCGAAGCCCGAAACACCGTACAGTACACTGCAAAGCCTTTTGCACATATTGTTGCTTACTACTCGTTTCACTGTCGGTTGCACCCGACCTAGGAACCCCGGTTACATCGAGCCTTTTTCGCATTGATACTGGGTGAGAAGCTTGGAGGTCCCATTAGCATGTTCGGGAGTCGCTGGTCAGGCATCCTTATCCCTACACGAACCCGAACCCTAAAGACTCCAAGCCCTACGTAAACCCTTCATAGCTCTGAACCCTTAGCCCCAAACCCCGAAACCTAAGCCTCAAACCTTAAAGTACTCCGAGTTGCGAGCGGCAAGAAACCCTACGTATTGAATTTCGACCTGCGCACTCAGCCGCCTCCCAACCCCAAAGGTCCAAGTAATAGTATAGTACATGCTTTTGGCTCCCAAGTATCTACAAGAGCCTACTATAAATCCTAAACCGATACCCTAAACCCTGCCGAGTTGCGAGAGCGCCAACCCTAAACCCTAAACTTGCGATGCTAGCTGGGAGGCAAAGAAGAACTTGCCTCGCCCTGGATTGTCCGAGTGGGAGCGCCGAAACCCCTATAAACCCTAAACCCTAAACCCCTAACCCAACTATTGTGGTACCTAAACCCTATAAACCCTAAAACCTAAACCGTGGCTGTGGTACCTGGACCCTTGGGAACAGGAGCCCTTAGAGCTTCGAAAGTGCGGAAACGACCTCTTTGAGTCGAAGGAGCAGACTGTAAAGAGTTCAGGGTTTAGGATTTAGGGTTTAGGGTTTAGGATTCAGGGTTTAGGGCTTAGGGTTTATAAGGGCCCAGAGCAGAATGGGTAGTTCTCTCAATTACTGTAGTCTCCCTTTTTAGCACCCTTATAAAAAAAGGACCCTACAAGGGACCCTAATTTAGAGAACTACCCGAATGCAAAGAGTTTTTAGGATTTAGAACGAATCCAGCAGAAAGTTGGAACATAGGTTTAGGAGGATTGGTGCTAGGATCCCTTATACGTTGCCAAAAGGGCATGAGGATATTGATGTTCCAGCTTGCTGGCTTCTACTGTAGGGGTTTAAGGTTCAAGGGTTCTTTACCTCAGAGGATCTTCAGCCAAGCTTCATTCTGTTGTCATCCACGCTTTTCCTGTGCGCGCTTGCCTTTAAGAGAGAGTGAGGGTTGCGTAGGCTCTGGCCGGCACCTCAGCCCGTGCTGAAATAAAGGGTTTGCATTTAAGTTTAAAGGTTGAGGGTTAGGGGTGTAAGGTTGGGTGTTGGTACGTGGAGTTTGACGGTCGGAACATGGCCCTACATGAGCACTTCATTTGATCGATGCAGGACTATGAAGGAGCAGTAGAGCAGTACACGGCGGCCATCAAGAAGGCGCGAGTTCAGGATAGCGAGTTTCTGTCTGAAGAGCTTGGACTTGCACCTGAAGACGCCATCCTTAGCTGTGCGACGATGTTTGCTGTGTTCCAGCAGAAGATCGCATCAACTCGGTTGGGTGATCTCCCCTGCGAATGTGGGCGGACCCAAGTGCACCACTGTAGTCTTAGACTGGATGCCGCCGCAGCTTTAAGCTTTTGGGGCCTCCTGTCCCGAACCCTTTGATTCACTTTTGTCTTAGCCGTCCGACAGGAGCCAACCTCCGTCTTGCACAGCAACCGTGCAGCCGCGTACATGATGCTGCTGCGACGAAGTTGAGGGGTTGCAGCTTCTGTATCGCTGGACCTATCTTCCGGTTTTCTGTAGCTGCAGCTGATACAGCCGAAGACTCTCTAACCTTAGACCCTGTCCCTATATAGAATATTGGAGTTCAGAAAGTACTTGGACCTTATAATGGAACCCCACATAATTAGAAGGATCCTTATTGTAAGGGGCCCTTACAGTACCCCGTAATTTTCAGAATCGCCTCACATAACATCTAGGCCCTAAGCGCAGATGCAGGCTTCGCGAGTGTGAGAGCCGAAACCCTAAATCTCGTTGGCAACTTGCATGAAGGTGAGAGTCGAAATGCCGAGTTGCGAGTGACAAACGTTGATGAGTCAGTAGTCGGAGAAATGATCGGTAAACCAAATCTAAACCCAACCCGAATAGCCCCCCCCAAAACAGCAACAAACCCGAAAAACCAAGCCCAACACTTGCAGGGTACAGTGCTGGTTTCGTCCTAGCGAGGTGGGAGGCAAAAAAGAAGCAACAAAAAGACTTCCAAGGCTCGGCTGGTGGGACCAAGCGCTGCGTGACACGAAGGTCGCGCTGCGCAAGGACTCGGAGAATTTCAAGGCAAGGCTCGGGGAGGCCTTCGTGTAAAGTGCAGTCCTTGTCATTGTCAGTAGTAGAATTATACCGCCCAAAACCTTAGGGCAACTGTTAGGGAAGTTCGTGCTCAAGGGGTAAACACGGACATACATAGACTATTGAGGGTTTGAGTTAGTGATACTGACGATTCCGGACGTTGCCGGAAGTCCAGTCCAGGAAAAAAGACAAGGCAAGTGTAGAGCAGTTTTTTCACGGTTGAGAGTTCAGGTTTCGGGCTTGAGAGTGCTATGAGGGAGTCGGGCTGGGCTGCAGTTTCAGATTTTTGGGTGGAGGGCCATGCGTGTGTGTGTGTGTGTGTATAGTTATAGTTTTCGAATCTGCCAGGAGTGGAGGCCAGCTAACCCAGAGGTATCATACTTATCGTTGTGCTAAGGCCACTATAGACAGGAGGTTCTGCTGTTTCGGTGGGATTGGTTGCAGCAGTCGAGGCCTTGGAACGGCAGGGTCGCATCCAACTGGCGCGGGATGATCTCGACGCAGCGGCAGCGGTGGTCGCAGATCTGGAGCTGGCAGATAAGCTCTTGAAGTCCCATGCTTTTAAGATGTTTTTGTAATAATAATCATAAGAATTAGAATAGTAATAATATTAATAATATGAGTAACAATAATACAGGCTCAGTGACTTTGAGTATGGATTGGCGCTATGGAGCCGGGCTTGCTGGGGCTGCTCGAGTTTAGGACTTTTGCTTGGTGATGGACAGCAAGGCCAAAGTATCAGCTGAGCACGAGATGAGGGTTGAATCTTCAGGGAGACTTCTCGGCGTCCCGTGAAGATTCGGCAACGATCTCCAACGAGTTACAGGCGTCATGAAACCACGTATTGGGAGTCGACAGCTTTCTCAGGATCTGCTTTAGAAGGTCTCGAGCCCTGCCATCAACACCCTACTCGGGGTCAGGCAGCTCTACATACATGCCAACAAGCCTACAGCCCAAGGAAAAGTCGATACCAGCAGCAGTCTATCCTCCCAAGCGGCAACAGATCTGCATGGTACCAGCCATGGATAGCCCACAAAGCGTCAATCTGCCGCGACCTTCCCTTTCAGGAGCAGCGTGGTCCCAAAGAGACCTTCAATGGAGCGGACCGACCGGCAGCAGGCGAATTGGTGTCCGCTGTTCTGCTGCAGGCGGTGCTTCCTGATGATGGGAACGTCGGCGTGGCGACAACAGGGGATCCCGATTAATCTCGGTCATGTGCCATTACTCATGCGACAACACGTGGCCTGACTCCCTGGTCAAACACCTACCTTATGCAGAAAGCATCAAAGGCTCATAGTTCAGGCATCCGCCGCCTCCGTTGGCTGGTGCAAGCAGCACGGGCTCCGTCTACGCACCCCGGCACTCGACTGGTCACCACAGCAGTGTATGGGCTTGGTTGCTAATCTGCGACCCAGATGGTTTCTGCTATCAACCTTCAGGCTGATCTTGTTTGGGCCAGGGCTTGGGTTCTCAACCCCCAAGCCAAAACCTGCAAAACTTGCGTTCAGGCCGGACACTTTTGTGTGAGGTTGAGGATCGATGTAGCAAGTTAACCGGAGGATTATGGGCATCATGGCCATGACGCTTTTAAAAGCTACCCCAGTTTTGTTTCCCAAACTGCGACAAAAATCGAAGCTTGTGCTCAAACAATTGTTCAAGCAATCCTGAAAGCTTCGTGTCTCGGATATCTTGACGCTGCCGCGGTCTTCTATCGTCTTGAGAGCGACATCTGGCAAGACCACGTGATACTTGTAGTTTGCTGGCATCCTAGCACATCTTTGGGTCAGGATTGATGCGCCTTTATGTAGTCTTCAGCTGAGACACGCCTTTTTTCCTGCGCCGCATAAAATTTCGACAGCGATGCTGCCCTGCTACTGCCGGAATCACGTACTGATAGATATTCACTAGTCACTAATCGACTAGACATCTCCCACGACTGTCTGATTTCCGATGCTGCTAGACACGAAACGACCTTTATCATAGTTAGACTGTAAAACTATTGCGAGAGATGTTTCGCTGCTACGACTTGATACCATTGCGATGGCCTGAACAACCACCCACCGCGGAGAATCAACACGACAACATGAGAACATGGAATAAAAACAGTAAGCAGCGACATTGGAATCATCATTCACGAAGTCGAAGAAGATCACTGCGGAAGATGTTGAATACGGAGGTCGGAACAGTTAATCATCCGACCACCTTTTGCATATTAGAGCGCCTACAAAGTCCTCTAAATTATTGGCTGTCACTCGAGCCCTGTAAGCCCCGAAACCCCTACAGCCTGGCCCGAAACCCCGAAACCCCACCCTGAACCCTTAAGCTCCTCTGCGCCTCGAATCGTATACTCCTGAGCCCCAAAACGGGAAAAAGCACCAACTCCCTAAGAAAAACCCTAAACCCTAGACTGTAGGCTGTGCCCAGGCTGGAGGAATGCCGAGCGGTGCTCGAGCACTGGAGCTCCAAGGCCGAGCTTGTCCTGGGCTAAGGCGTAATGTGGGAGTTTCGGAATTTAGGGTTACCTTAGTTTGGGGGTCCTTATAATAAGGATCCTACTATTTAGGGGCCTATATTGGGGCCCCCTATTTCCGGAAACCCCCATATAGAGGGTTTAGGGTTCAGGGTTTGAAGCCTCAATGATTACCAGTTATGATTTTTCCCCAGGGCTCCTTATTATAGAAGTCTACAATAATGGACCCCAGCGCCCTATTCTCATTATTCAGGCCCCTGCATTAGGGTTTTTCGATCTTCGGGGTTCTCAGGGTTTTAAGTTGGTTTGAGGGGTTCTAAGGTGCGCTATCTGAGAGCTTAGGGGTTTTCGGATCTTCGGAGTGTAATTCTATGTTCAGGGTTCTATGCTTTCCTGTTCAGGATCAGGGGAGTTGCGTTGGTGTCGCACCCGGCAGTCTAAAAGGCCCGGATGCAAAATGGGCTGAGCGCCGAAGAATGAGGTACTTTGTATCAGCAGCATTCACAGCCCTAATCGTTTTTGTGGCTTCCGGGCATTAATAAATTGAGGGTTTAAGTTTAGGATCGAGGGTCTGTCTTTGCCGTTTGGGGCTGATGTTGGGGCTGGAATACCCAGGCATGAGAACCTACCGTGCTCACCTTATTGATTGAGAGTTTTGGTTCAAGGTTAGTGGCTGTGGGTTTGTTCAATGCAGGGGTTTGGTATTCTCGAAGGAATACAGTATGGACATGGACCGTCTCATTGCAAAGGCACCAAAGGTTTCATGTCCAGGCATGCCAGCTGCTCAACGTGGATGCATGCCTTTTAAAAAATGCCCCCTAAACCCTAAACCCTACACCCACCTCATGTTCTGCAACCAGCAACCTTCCAAGGTGTCACCATTTGGCTTGCGCATCCGCAAGAGCCTCGCTAAGGCGACGTGTGGGTGAGGGCGCCACTGCGAACTCTCATTTCGGTTTTGAGTTTGGTTTGGGGCCGTTCAGGGCTTAGGGGCTGCGAGGCAGTGTCAGTGTCTTTGGTTTCAGAGTGGGGGTCCTCCTTGGGATTGGGCTCCTCTTCCCTGTCGGGCGGATGCGCCTCCACGAGTCAACAGAACTCACACCAATCTGTTCTGCGATAGCACGTGCGCCCTTTGATCTTGCTCCTTGGAAATGTGGCACACATCTCACATTCACCCACCACAAGTACTCTTCATTGGGTCACCTTCACTAAAGCCTGTACGATTTGCAGGACCACTTCTGGGCTCTTCAGAAGGCACCACCAATTTGCCAGGTATAGAGTCGGTCTTTGCTCTAAATCTATTCAGCACGGCATGCAAGGATAACACCCTCCCACTGCGGTCCTTGCTGCATGCATTCACTGTGGAAGCTTGCCATCAGAGGGTTCCTTTGGTGTGAGTTTGCTCTCCACAATTGCCCAGTGCCAGCTGAGAGTAGCTTCGAGCTATTCGCAAGGTCTTCACGCATCCACCTTCGTCCTCCGTCTTCGCGTAGGATGCAATGGCCTACCTCCCCTACCTCAAATCCGAGTCTAATTATTACGGCCCCTTTAGTAGTCCTTTCAGCCCCCGTACCTGTTCAACCCCCTGCGAGGCTTTGGTCGAGGCGAGCGATGCGGTGGATAACCCGAGAAAGACTCTTAGCTGGAGCTTGAGGACGTTTTTGTATCTACGTCAGCGTAGCGTACGGCTATTTGTACTGGTGTAAGGCTCGCAGTATACACAACAAGTGCCAATCCTGTGTGAAGCTGTTACTAGCAACTTGCCGCAGATGCCCGCAGCATGAACCTCACTGCATCTTCAAACCCGCTGATCAACTCTGTGAAGGCTACTGGCATCAGACATCAGAAATGTGCACTGGATTCTGGTGTATGCCGAGGTCTGACTCGAAGCTTTGTACACATCATGTTCTAAACTACGATTAAGCCGTTGTACATGCGTGCTGGTGTATCTTCAATACTAGAAAGCTTCCTGCGTATTTACAGCAAGATCAGGAATAAGAACCCGCATAAATCCGCACACTCTTATGGAAAAACTAGGCTGTAGAAACGCGTAGTTTCACGCCAGCTCTTATTTCCTTGCAACAGACCAGCATTGAAACCATAGGGCAGTAGGATTACTACAGAATGTGTTCTACGTGTTGTGGAGAAGAGCTGCAACGCTTGGTCTTCCAGTTTGAGCGAGTCAGCGGCCTCATAGACATCAACTAGTGGAGCACTCTGAAAAATTGCTGAGGGCCGCACCATGCCATGTAAAACCTTTAAAGCACGACATCCATGTGCTTGTCTTCTAGCAGTCGGTGATGAAATCAGTTCACAACCCTAAACCCGATACCCTGCGACTATGCACAAAGAAACAATAAGCCAAAACAGCATAAAACAGAAAGGAATAGCGTCGAACGCGACATCACACGTTGAGGCAAGGGAAGCTCCTTTCGAGGGTCTATACATGGCAGTTCAGCTGGTTATCCCAGCAGGAAGCTAGTAACCTGTGTCACACTGACCTGCTACCGTGGAACCTCGCCTGGCATGTCCGAGTTGTGAGAGCGTGTAAGCCCTAAACCCTGAACCTAAGCCAGCTTAGTGATTGTTGCCGGACTTTCCTTTGTCTACCGCTTGGACTTTTTCGGGCATCTTTTTGGATCCCAACAGCTGAGCAGCAAGACCAGACATGGACCCTGTTACGCCAGTCGGAATGATTCGTAGCAGGTCCCTTCATATATTCTTTAATCGAGTTATCGTAAAATATACCCCAAGGCCCAAATCTAATCATTATGGCCCTACCACATTACACGCAGAGCTCACTAGGCCCCAAGCCGCACAGCAAGCTGCAATCTGAACAGCTTGGAGCTCCAGTGTACATTGTGGGCAAAGTCCTGCCAGCGCACAGGGGCGCTTTAAACCGTCTCTAGACCATGCAAGCCTTGTAAGCCCAAGGATTCGACCGGCTTTGGCATACAACAAACGGGAGGCAGAGCACGGAGCTTCTTGGTTGATTGAAGCGACGGCCTAGTAACAGGGACACTTGCTTTACGGCTTCGGTTTCCGAATCATTCCAAAAAGGGTGTGCCATGCAAGGTGAGGGCGTCCTTTGCCAAGAGGTACTGCGGTCTTGCAGGCGATGCTTTAATTCCACCACACTTGTTAGCCGTTGTTCTTCTGAAGCGTACCTGCCCGTGGTTTACTGAACTTGATTGGCATGGTTCGTTAGCTCAAAGGGCTCAAGAGAGCCCGGGCGCCCGAGACCCGAATGCCTCAATCCAAAGCGGGGTCGAAACCCCTGCCACGTCCCCCAAACACCATTCCGAACGCTCAGGCCAGGGGAGAATCAACTCGACCAACCTTTGGCTAAGGATGAGATCGAGGAGCTCACGCCTTTCGCTCGTGAAGCCGTGAGGCCTTTGGGAGATTTCCTTTGCCAGGGACCCTTCATCCCCAAAACTCGACCAACTGCAACGTCAACCTGAAACGTAGAGCAGAGAGCCACAGACGAGTATGAGCAAGTCCTGTGCTAAAGAGGGTCGAGTTGAGTGTCGAGTTGCATGCGATGGCGGCTACCAGCCGAAAACTCATGATGAGCGCGGAAACTCGCTTGGCCTTTGAAGCCGAAAACTTATGCAGCTAAACCCGGGAACAATGAACCCGAGATTCAGATTTCGGTTCATGTTCCTGCAAGTGGATTCTAAAGGCTTGATGTTGTATGGACAGGAGATACGGCCACGAAAGAAAGGGGGAGCCACAAATACACCCGCCTTCCTATTAGGGGCCATGAGGAACTGGGCGTTGTTTCGTGTTCGGCAGGCTAACCGGCGAGATTCTTCAAGATTTCCCTGAGGACGTCATGCCAGACCTGCTTGTCGCCCTGATACAAGTAGCTTTCAATCGGTCTGCCAACGAAAACTGTCCAGCCTCGGGTACTTCAGCATTGCATGGGCTTGGACATGTCAAGTGCTCGCACGTGCTTGCTTGTCTTTTATTCCAGAGTGGCCCACCTACAGTCTACACTCTACACTTCTACGAAACTGTTAGCCACAAGCTCACGTTCGACCCAGGAACACTTTGCCGATTCCCCTCGCTCCATCCCGCCAGCCACGAGATACTCACGAGACCAGGTTTTCTCTGCCTAGTAGTGGTGAAGGAAGCACTTCTTTAGCCATCTTCGAAGACTTTGCATTGGGCTTGGGGTCTCGGCTTACGGCTGCCCAGGAGAGAATCAGTGTTTTTAGCTGAGGTATAGGGAAGCGAGGTCCAGTCCCAAATCCATCACCTGCTGTGCCCGAGCCTTGAGAGTCGAATAATACCAGAGAGTACTGTAACTCTTGAGCAAAATCCTAAAATACAATATGTTCTAAATCCCCAAACCCCAGCCTGAGCGGTTCGGCCAGGCGGATGCCAGGTACTGGCACGGGCCTTATTGCTTGGGAATTCGGGTGACGTGCCGTGCAAAGCTATAGTCGTGTGTCAGAGCCCGATGAAGCTGCCCGCATGAAGCCCGGAAAGGGGCATGTGCGGTTGGAAAAAAATGCAGCTTCGGACCCAGTGGAAAGACAAATTGCTAACGCAGCTGCCATGTCCACAGAGCAAAGCAGCGACCTCAAAGCCTGTAGGCACTGTAGGCTGGTGGGGGCTGTAGGATTCGCTTTAGGGGGTGAGTTCGAAGTAGACTTCTACTCACCTGTTTAGGGCTCGTGCCGCGGGGTATACACGCTCCGCTGTAAGTCGCCAAGCGCTGGAGGCGAGGCCGCGCGCTACTTCGACTTGGCCGACAGGGGCTCAAAGATGAGCGGTAGAGGTGTTTTGTTGTAACAGCTGAGGGTGCTCAGGACTCCGGGCTTTGTGTTTTTCAGGTGTGGAGCTTTAGGGTTTTCGGGTTCAGGTGCTCTTAAAGCCCCAGACTCGCAGAAGCCAGGCTCAAATTCCGAGCCCCAGCACCAGCTTCAGGCCATGTCGATGCGGAAGCCCAGTTCCAAGAAGGCTGGGTGAATCAATCGTGTGTGTATGAGTGTAAGGGGCGTGGTGGCAGGGGGGTTGGTCTGAAATGAATCGCTCCAGGGGCACCGACCATGACTTGTGTGTTCCCTTGGTGCAGGGATCACCAGTCATGGCACAGATGATGTGAATGCGGCGAATGCCAAGAACAATTAGCCACAGTCGGCTTCGACCCACATGTTGGCCAGCCTCTGACTACCAATCTGTAGAGGGACGCTTGCAAGCACTGTGCCGCACACTGTGCCTGAATAACATTGTTGGTCGCTACTTCAAATTGTGCTTACCTGCAGTTCAACCTCCAAAGTTGAGGGTGAAGCTGATAAGCTTTTGCGAGTTATCATGACCATAACGATGGTGTTCACGACGGTGCTGGTGCCGGTGCCGGTGCTGGCATCCATGTTTTCTCTTCTGAGCCGGGAATGTGTGCCTGACGTCACACATGCCAGGCTTGAAGCTTGACCAAGATCACGAGCACGGACCTCAAAAGCTGTCTCAGTTGATCTTGGCTCGCTAAAGCTTACAGTTTGCGACTTGTGACAAGCACGACATATCCTTGCCGCTGGATGCTTCAGGTCGGGTGCTGATACTGCATGTTTGGGCTGGACCGCTATGGAAAGTCTGACCCCCTACAAGACTTCCTATACCTTCACAGAATCAAAGCCCTACATTCTGTTCGCCACTCCAGCTCCTGCCGAGGAAGATCCGGGAAGTCCAGGGCACTGTGGTGCCGGAGCTGCAAAAGAGCTTTATCCGGGCTTTGGGTGAGAGCCGAAACCATCATCCCACAGATTCTGTGCAGATGAGGGGCCACGAGCTTCTGAACTCGAAGCTCTGAGCTTTCCACCGCTTAAGGATGAGGTGGAGGAGGTCAAGTCCAAGGCCAACGAGCTTTACAAGGACAGACGTGCAAATGACTCGGGTTGTAGAGGGAAGGTGCCTGTCACAGCTTGTTAATTCCGGCCGAATTCAGAGGCAATCCAGGCCTACTTGTAGCAAAACAACCCCTGAACGTGCTTATATTCTCGCTGGTGCTGGGTCGTGTTCTGTTGGGATCCTTGGCTTCGGCATGAGGTCTGGGAACAGTCTCATCCCAAGGCGGTTTCAACGCTGAGAAAGCCCTTAACCAACTGAGAAACTGCCATGATTCCCCATTCCTTGAGACAAGCCAAAGCTTAAGCAACTTCCTGAACGCCACTGGGTCAGGAAGGACACTTGGATCAGGCCTGCTGCACCTGCGGAAGCGAGGGAGGGAACGAGGGAGAGAGGGAGGTAGCGGGGAGGGAGGGCTCTGACGCCTGCTGCCCTATTATGTAGGTATAAGAACAACAATCGGAGGCAGATGCAGTGATTCAGTTAATTTTTCATGGCTGAGTATTGCAAGGTTTCACGTTCGGCTGCGGAACCTCAGGGCACGTCCTTCAGATTACGGCATTTGATCTTAGACTTCGGAAATTCGCAGAGTCGTTTGTTTGGTTTTATGGCATTTCAGAAATCAGCGTGACTTATTGCCGTATTTTGAAGTTGTACAGGATTCCTTTGGGGATTCAGACGACTAGGATAGGTTAAGTAGGGGTGCTTCTGAACGATTATTTAAGTTTAGGGACCCAACTCGAACCGAGCCGTCTAATCATGATTCTACAAGCCACACACCAGGGTTGCTCATTCTCTGAGACTCCAAATCAACTAGTTTGTACCGAGCCGTGACAGGCCATCGCTCTGTACACCGAAGCCATCGACCGTGCCTCGCATAAAGTTTATCAGACTGTTTTTAGCACCAGATGTTGTGCATTGTGCATGCGGTCAGCATGCAAGAATGCTTCGTGTCAGTTAGCACTGCGTCAAGTCTAAATACTTCTTGCAATACACACGCGCACACACACACACAAAAACCACTCCAGACTCTTGTGTCTTGTGCTTTTGCAGGAGCAGATGATTTAGGGCTTTCGGCCTACCATATCCCTTCACAACTCAAAACATGCATGCGTCCAGACGCAAGACCCTGGCAGCGATGTCAGGGACCCCAAACAGCAGGATCCTTCTTGTAACGTGTAGGTACCCGAATTTGGTGAAGCCCCGGACCCTAAGCCCTTCGCATGCCATGCCAGCCCCGTGCGAGCGCGTGAGTCGAAACCCTAAACCCTCATACATCAGTCAACGGAAGCCGTTCTCGGAATCCTACTAGGATCTCTTAGCTGCCAGATCCGCCGGCTACCAGGTTTCACATTGTGGGCTTTGACTTCCTACAAGCTATTATAGGGTCACTGTAAGGGCTCAATATAAGGGTATATAAAGGCTTGGGGTACTGTACTCCGATGCACAGCGCATTCGTGATAGTGAGCTTCAAAACTGAAACTTTAAATCTTAGACTAAAACTCTAACCTTTAGCCGATTCGGATTCGTGATAGTTCAGAAAGCCAAGGAGATCCTGATTGCGTGGACACGCGAACAGTGGCTACGCTCTACTACAACAGGCGCTTCGCCAGTATGCTTGTTTAGGGCGTAGGTTTCAGTATACGCCTGGGCACCTTCGAACATAGCAGACAGCCGGTTTCTCGGTGTATTTTATCACTGGCACATGGACAAACAAGCACGCATAGCTTGGATGTGCAACGCAGACTTGCTCCGATGGGGCCCACGATGCACGAGCCAGTGCGCATGGCACCGGGTCTTCGGACTTGGGATTCAAATTCTGAGCAGCTTCGTTTCCACCAGGCAGACAGAGATTATGACAGAGGTCAAGTAAAGATGAAGCTGTCGTACACATTTGTCGTGCCTTCCTTGCCAACATCTGCCAACTCTTAGCTTGCTTGGCAGCACAGGAGTCAGTCGTGCCTAGGGCGACTGCATTCTCTTTGGCTGCGAGTTGTGTCTGTCGGTCCGTGTGTCTGCCTGTCTGTCTGCGTGCATTCACACGTGCGGCTTATGCTTGCTACTTGCATCCCGCACTTTAGCCTGCCGAGTACCCAGTTCTCGCCCTGCAACACGAGACTATCAACTGCAAGTGGGTGCCACCTCTGTGTTGACATGGCTTTTGGTTCACCAGTTTACCCGCCGTGCGCATCAGGGAGCAACGATGCAGGTCTGCGGCCTTGCGCAAGCGAGGCGAGTTCGAGAAGGCCTTGGACGATGCGCCACCCTGACACAATTCCTCGCAGCTTCAGGCTTGAGAGTCGCACATTAGACGTCTCAGGAAAGCATGTGAGAATGCGCTCTGTTTGAAGAACCTGGGCCTTGATGGCCCATTGATGGTATTCCCATGAGTTGTCAGGTGCAACACTTCCCATCTGCACACGTGTATGTGTATACATATATATATATAATTATATATATATATAGATATACACATACATACACAATATAGATGAACCTATATGTGAACATACAAAAGTACACAAACACAACTACGCACTTTCACAAAGGATCACTTAAATATACCACAGATCATGCAAGCGCACGAGCAAACAGGGCATCCTCAGCAGCAGTTGATACCAGATGCGTTTACTGCATGAAGAAGCAGACACAGCACAGCAGACAAACTTAGGCATAGCATCGCGGCTCTCAGACTGTTCGCAAGCATGGCTCTCCTTCCTTTTCCAGTTGGAGTAGAACTGCAGTTTCTAGCATCACGGCTCTTGTTGCTATTGCACGCCATCCGTACTCCACCACTGCCACTGCTCGCCGCTTCAATTTCTATTGCTGGAGGATGGGCAGGCGGGTGGGTTTACAATATGTCTGTATGACTATGTATACACATATATATATATATTTATCTCTCTCTCTCTCTCGCTCTCTCTTATACATATGTACATATATTTATATATATATATAACCTATTTATGCGTGCATGTACGTATGTATGTATGCATGTATGCATGTATGTAACATCATAGTACATCCTAGTAGCATCGACTTGTTTAGCGCATGCCGCGGCACAGCAGCTAGTAGAGCAACATATTGTGCCTTTCAGCGAGCGGACTTTACCAGACCGGGGTGATCCGCCTTCGTTTCCTCGAATAGAGAAGCTGCAGACAGGAAGTTTCCAAGCTCGCGACAGGAATATGTGCCTGGCACTCCACCCAAAGTGGACGAAGGCTCACTTTGTGAGTAAGGCTTTCTTCTGCGATGATGCCGGCAAGCCTTCAGATCGTCGCATGAAGCCTTTGCCGATGGCTGCATGATGCTGGATATCGTGGATCATACGGTCGAGCACATGCATGCACTAGTGTGACTAGCATCATGGCGTAATTCAACTCCTCCAGACCCCCACACTGGTCCTGGAATCTTGACCGGTCTTTTCACGTTTCCCCGTGAGGCTCTTTACCGTCGTGGCATACTGTTACTGGAGCACCTCAGATGCAAGGATGTTGCAACTCCATGGTGTCATGCGTTTGTCGAATGTTGCCCGAGTCTGCGATACAAGGTGCGGCAGATACGCGGAAGCCTTGACAGAGCTGAAGGCATGGGCGATGTCAATGGATTGTGCGATTTCGGGCTTTATGTTTGTATCGTCAGCTATCATCACTTCTATGCCCGGGCTAGCATGAGAATCGGGGAGTATCAGAGCGGTCGGGTTTCAGGACTCTATGTGACTCAACACACAGCTGAAGGAAATACAGGGTCCACACAATCTATTTGGGCTGCAAGACTGAAATTCAACACCAAAGCAGTCGATGGGCTAGCGGCTTGCATTTGGATCATGGGTGACGTTTGCGCTGCATCAGGAAGTTTGGCTCCTCGGGCGAAGGGAGACCTTCGTTTGGGAAACAGATGTGCACGACGACTTGCAACAGCAGCGACAGCAGCAGCAACACCTCAGATATGCCAGCAGCAACGGCTGCGACGATGAAAAGCACCATGTCATATAGACGAGCTTAGAGCAACGCGATTACACAAGGGTCACACCACGTGAGTTCTAGGTTCTCCCAGGCCGTCGTCATCGTCACCGCAAGACTCTGCCTGCCAGGAAACCCTTGAAACCCAAGAGCCCCAAGAACCAACCAAGACAGAGAGAAGCAGAAAGGTTTGCAGAGTTCGCAATGATCTCCTTTTTGTTTGCGTCCCTGTAGAAGTAGGTATGTATGTGTATATGTGCATGGGCGCGTGGGGGCAACATATGTACATGTGTGTACATATATATATATATATACGGATATATACATATATATATACATACATGTGTATATATATATGTATATATATTTATTTATTATACATATGTATTTTTATATATATGTGTGTGTTTGTGTTTACTTACTTATTTATGTCTTGATTCTTGTCGCACGATCGTAGACCCCGGAGCTGCAATTACTCAAGGCCCGCTACATAGCTTGCTCTCAGGTGGTGCAAAGAGCAGACCCCACCTTCGATGATGACCTCGAGGAGCCCGGGCCTTGGGAAGCGCGCCTCGGGCCTCTGTGTTTGGGGTTGAGGGTTCCGGGTTTTGGACGTAGGATCTGGGGCTTAGGATGTAGGATCTAGGGCCAATCTAGGGTTTTGGGATATAGATAGGATTACGGATATAGGATCTGGACTACAGGGTGTAATCGGCGGTGAGCCTGCAAACCACAAACTTACAGTCCTGAGCCACAGCTCCGAAGTCCTAAGGAAAAGATTCGCAAAGCTGTGACAGCGTACACTGAAACACGACAATGCATGACAGCGCACGATAAGAGGTTACAGTCTACTATGATACCCCATAATATAGTATATTAGACTATCACATACTATCATGCTTATAGAGACTAACGAGAACGGAGGAAGCTGCCCACGCTTGTTCCTGCAGCAGTTTTGGCTGAAGTCCCTCAGCTTCTCTCTTCGTATGTATCGAAATTGGAAAGGCCACCGGCTTGATGATTAGGGTTTTGAGATCACGGTTCATGCAGGGTATGGTGAAAGACGGTGTGGAGGGTTCGTGACTTCGGATCGTCTCCTCGAGCCCTGACAGGCCGTAATGATTTGAATAGGGGCTTGGGGTATCATACTAGAAAAATAATGGGGGCTATAAAGGGACACGGTTTCTAATCTTCGCATGTAGCACTTGCCTAATTTTTCGCGTTCCGGGCTCGAGAGCAGGTCGCAGGTTGGGTCCCGAAGGCTGTGCTGCGCGACATCTGCGACCTGCCGTGCCCACCGCAACACCCTTTGCTCTTGATACTGTGATGACGAGTGGTATTTATTATTTTTCCAGTTTCGATGTTGCGAATACAAAGAACTGCGTGGAAAACAGATCCTGCAATCCCCCGGCAAAGACCTTGTCAAAGATGACATTGGTATTGTGCGAAGAACCGGCGTCCATTGCTCCCTGTTCAAGCCGCAGACCTGCGCATGCAGGTTCATGACCAGTTGCAAGTAGACTCAGAAGCATCTGAAGAAGTAGCTCTAGTGCTAATGCGTATCGCACCATCGGAAACTAATCATAGTGTTTGCAAGAAGCATCAGACTTCGACCGCATTCCAGAACCAGGGCCTTGGTCAAAGTGGCAAAGCACCGAGAACTTTCGGCGGAAGACGGTTTAGCGCTTAGGCTTATGGGTTTGGCATATGCATAGACAGACCAAGTGTAAAAAGGGTTTGTAAACCCGAAAGCCCGAAAGTCGAAACACCTGCGGGTGATCACGACGATGGAAGCACATGAGAATTATGTGCATGCTCCACAGCTTTGGGATATACCTTGCGATTGATATACACGTGCATGCGCATGGCATGCGGTCTTCAGCGTGTTCGGAGTGGGGATGAGGGATAAGAGAAGGCTCCCTGATGCGGATGACAACTTTTCATGGCAAACCTCGATTTCACGATGTCTCCAGTGTGTTTCACGTGTCTGTTCGGGAGACCACCTAGGTCTTGGGACTTTCGGATATAGTGTCGGGTGTCGCCATGGCAGACTGCACAGCGTGAACGGATTATGTGGAGCCTTGCTGCCTGTTGAGTCGAGACAATATAACTTGGACCCTACAGCCTAAACAACATCAGCTTGACGGGCGGGGAAAGGTATATAGCTACAGTCAGCTACAGCCCTAAAGCCATAAAGCGTGCACTCCTAAGTTTTAAGCCAAGCTCTCAAGGTTTTTGAACGCATGGCTCGGACCTTTGGTGCCATCGTCGCAGCGGCTGCCCTGCTTGGCAGCCGGAGCGAACCCGTCGAGGCACATTCGGGGTTTAGCCCCTTTATAGTTTAGGGTGTGTAGGGTTTTTACAAGTATACAGAAGCCCCTATCTCAGAAAATGAGGGGAGGGCAGGGCACCTTCAATTTGTGACTGGCGGCCCTAAGAATCTCAGTGCTCTCTGTCTGGGATATTCGATGCTCCTGGACTCCAGGCAGACTGCAAGGAGACGGAAGGGCCCGGCTTGTCCTTCATCCAAGCCAAGGCGCAGAGACAACACAGGGCTCTTTCTAGAAGAAAGAGATCTGAAAGCAAGGCAGAATTTAAGGACTTTGTAGCGAGGTGTTCGTTTTTCAGAATCGGGTTTAGAAGTCATGAGGAGTTTCTGCTGGGACGGCGCGTGTTCGTTGAGGGAGCACTATAGCTTGTGCCCAGGACAATTAGGCTACCTTGCACATCGCCTAGCACTTAGCAGAAGATTGCTTCTTTAAAACTAGACATTACGATCGAGCATGTAAGTCCAAGGCACTCGCAAGGGGAAACACTACGGCGAAGAAGGAGGCGCTTGAGTACCATTGGTGCCTCATCTGCAGCACGTATGGAGGGCTTGGGACTTATGCTGGAGATTCGGCCCTACACTTGTCGGTGTGAGTCTCAACGCTCAAAAAAGAATCTGGTCTCATATTAGTGGTCGTAGTCGCACTGGTGGTAGTCGTTGTCGTACTAGTAGCAGTGATAGCAGTAAGAGGAGCAGAAGTAGTATTTAGTAGCAGCAGCACCAGCAGCACCAGCAGCAGCAGTAGTGGCAGTAGCCGTAGCCGTGGCCGCAGCAGCAGCAGCAGCAGCAGCAGCAGCAACAGCAGCAGTAGCAGCAGCACCAGCAGCAGCAGCAGCAGCACCAGCAGCAGCAGCAGCAGCAGTAGCAGTGGCAGCAGCAGCAGCAGCAGAAGCAGAAGCAGCAGCAGCAGTAGCAGCAGCCGCAACAGCTTTAGCCGTAGTAGGCATCATGAAGTAAGCCCACCTCACTATCACGAAGCTAGTAGCGCAGCTTACGCTGTCAAAGGCGTTTTTGTGACAGAAAGTATCGTAGCGCCCTCAGGTCCTCTGGCCGTGGCAACTATCCCAACTACGGCGTGGCCAAACACCCAGGGCCCTTTGACCTCGCCGCAGCTTGGCTCATCAAAAGGAAAGGCTTTCTGGATCTGAGGTTGCACATCTAGGTTTGAGTCCGTCGGATTCTAGAATCGCAGCTATATGTTTACCTTTGAGAATCCAGGGTTTTCAGGGTTGGGGCTGTTCGGCTATTAAAGCCAGTGACGGTGAGCGTGGAATCTGGAAGAATCAGAGCAGCGCAGCTTTATCTATAAACCCTACTCATTACGCCCTAACACACCCTAAACCCTATTCTGGATTCTTTCGTGAGCCCTGCGTTTTGTTGTTTTCCCCTGGATGTAAAGTAGTCAGCCCTCTACCCTACTCGTCCTAGCAATTCGCGAGAAGGATCGTGTAGCATCGGGGCACGGCTTGAGTTGGAATAGGGTGTAGGATTTAGCCTTTGGGGCTTTGGGGAGTTAACCCTAAACCCTAAACCCCATCAAATCGCGCTTTTTGAGCCGAAAGCACGAGATGGAGGGCCATCTCCAGGTCACAAACCTAAGCGTTTTTTGCACTGCAAGAATGTTGAGGCTATCATGTCCGTCATGTCTTCTGCAACAGCAGACCGAAGCTAGATGTGAGTTTCGTAGTGTAGGATACCCTTATAACGTGGAGCCCCTAGGACCCTAGGAATCAGTAGAATCCTTCGTAAAGAGCGACCTGCAAGCAAGGCATACCCCTAGTTTTCCGAATCCCCAGGCCTCTCGCGTCTTCAGATAAGCCTGATGCAGTTATCAGGACCAGCTGTAGGAGCATTTCTGTTGTGATCCATTGCATTCCCTGGGGGACTTCGAAACAAGATGCGTTTCAGTTCTTGAGCCTGGCACCATCAATCTGGGCTCCTTTTCAACATGCAAGTCCTCAAAGCTTGCATCTGAATCTCAGACCTTGGTCTTGAATGATCTGAAGCCGTGGCCAGGGCAAGTTCGCGTGGAACTGGTCTGATCCGCTGGGACGGTACTTGACATTGACGCGACTTCGATGCAAGACCGCAGAACCACATATTCCAAGCCCAAAGACAGGATAAGGGGTCGTGTTCAGAGTGTCCTTGGCCCGTACAAGGAGGGATTCACGGAGGAGCGCTTCAAATTCAAACTTCCAGAAGGGTCAAGCCCTGCAGTTTTCCCTTGACATAGACATAGCCTGCATCAGATCCTGCCAAGGCCTTCGCTTTTGAAGATGCGAAGCCATCAAGGCTTAGGATTGAGGGCTAAGCGACTGGCATGAAGTCCAGGGCTGTCTAGGGATCACAACGGCTGACTCCAATAGAGATATTGCAAACAACCGTTGACAAGGTACGGCACTGCCATCGACCACCTGAGAAATGTCTACCTCAGTGCAGCCGATGGAGTCCGGAAGTTTGACCCGGATGGGGCCACTCTGCTGTCCAGCTGGGAAAATGTAGGGCTTCCTTCCAGGAGCTGAGATTGAACGTCGGACGGTTTTTGCTTTGGGATCGAATCGGTTTCAGCTCTTCCCTCTTCAGGACACGGGTTGTGCAGGTTGAAGCCAGAATATAGTTAAGCTGCAATGTGAAGCTCTCGGCAGGTGAGGTAAGAGATTTGCCCAAATCCTCCCTGTCTGAGAACGGATCAAGTTCGCGAGAGTGACTCAAAGCCCATATGTTTCATGCAGCGCACGACAGCCAGGGTTCAGTGAGTCACAAAGCCCAGCAGCGGCCTTTATGCAGATCCTTTGTCTTTATGCCACGCCGCTTCCCGATGAACCCAATGTCCGTTGAGTAAAGAATATTATTGAAAATATGGAGGATTCACATGTTATGATTTGAGGAAGACATGCCGAAACTTCAGCCCTGCTTAGTTTACTTCTGGCGCCCAACCCACAGCCATGCGCACATCCACTCAGAACCTCTTGTGGCAGTACTTCTCGCTGCCTGCTGAAATGATGGATGCCCCATCCCTGCTCGATGGGCGTCTTGGCTTGCCCTGAAGTGTTCAGAAGAAGCTTTATGGTAATCAAAGGGGGGGGGCGCTAACCAGTTTGCTCTGAAGTTTTTCTGAAGCATACCGGATACCACTGCCATGATGACTCACTTTAGAAAGCTGCTATATGGACTAAGGAAGTTATACGGAAGTGACACACATGGAAACATCGTCGCTCTGGATTTGGACGACGGAAAGGCTTCCTGCTCAGTTGAAGATCGTCTTTGCTTCTTAGGCAATGGAGGGCACTGCTGCAGTCGCCTAGCGCCGTCGACCCACGATCAGAGCCGCTGAAGCTATGACTTCTACAATCAATCATCCGGCGACGGCATATTTCACAGCTTCCTGGATCCTCCAACTAGACCTGTCGACCTAAGCCCCTGACCCTAAACGACTCCGTAGAACCGAAACCTGTAGCCGTTGACCCTAGGCCCGAAAGCCCTAAAACCACCCCTTTTTTCCCGGCAAAAGCCCTCCCGGAAGTCTTTGGCCAGGTGGTCTGGAAGACCCAAATCGCCCCCAACATCGGCCAGGCACAGTGACAGCTGCCTGTCGAATGCCTGCGGGGGTTGCTTGGGGAGGTTTTTTTTTATCAGGGGTATCCTGGAGACTCCTGGGGGTTCGGGCCTATTGGCACTCCTCATAATTTCGTGTACATCTCCCGCAACTCCCATCTAGCAGACTGCCGCGGAGGTGCACACTGGAACTTTTCACTCGTATTGAATGTTGCGGCATATCCTACAAAATGTCTGTTTTTGGCTTTGTTGAGCCGCGTGCAACCACTTCCGAGAGGCCAGCCATGCTGCAGGAGGGTTGTTAGAGGGCACCCCAGAAATCGCCTGCAGCTCAGCCTCTGAATATGGTCAAGCCGGACACTCATCGAAAGCCGATTACCCTGCCCTAAACCATGCTCCAATGTCGAGACACGGAAGCACTGACAGGACAACGGTTTTACCATGGCGAAGGAGCGAGTTGTTAGGGTTAGGGTTTAGGTGGACTCGGACTTGTTTGGAAGGATGGCCTACTTTGCGCAGACGATAGGAGAGGGACAGTCCAGCCTCTTTGGTCAGGGATTCGGCTTCGTGATTCTGTCAGCCTGAAGTTTCTCCCAAAACCGAATTTTTCACTGCAGGACATGGGATGATGTAGACGTGTAGATTTTCACAGTTGCGACTGTAAGCTTGCACTGGATTCTGGACGCAATGAAATCCGGCACGGGACTGGAGAGCGCTACAGGCAAATTGTGGCAAGTCGAGAAGGTTCATGCCTCCTTACCCAAGACCAGCTGTCCAGACCACGCTGAACATGTGCAACCCACTACCGCGCAGATGTCCATACACATGAGCTGCTTGGCATGCTTCCCAATCCAAAAAAGTCCCGGAGGACGGCGTCGTGCTTGCTGCGTGCGATTGGCGCGAACCATCCCCGATGGGCGAGGCACCCCGGCTCAGTTTGAGCAGGAATTTTGTCACTGCCTTTTCAGAGAGAGTTTGGGAGGGAAGAGACACACACCCAAGCAAAGTAAAGAGAGACAGAGAGAGCTAGGCACGGGTAGGCCTCCGGGCCAGGGGTCCTCCTGGGCCCGATACCCCTAGCAAGCAAGTAAGCAAGCAAGCAAGCAAGAGATAGGTGCAGACGGCGAGCTCGGGGATTGAGCGAAGGGGTCCGGGGGCGTGCTCGAGACAGGGGTTGCAGGTTTGTTTACTGAGCCTTTGACGTCCACAGTGTTGAGGCCAAAGTGAGCTTGAATGCACGCAGATTCGTAAGAGGGACAACTGGAAAGCTGTTGCAGTCAGTTTTCATTTCTAACGTAAACGAGTGCACCGAAAGTGCAGATATCAGAGGCAGTGAGCAGACATAGAGAAATCGGAATACAGAGAAGGGGCTTAAGGGCCACTTCGCTTGACTGCAGAACAAGAATGGGCTTCCGGAAGCCCGGAGCTTCGAGAGCTCTCTCCTTAGTCTGGTAAACGGCTAGACTTGAATCTCAATTTCGATCAGTCATGATACTCCCTTGCAGTCGCTCTATGATTGCCAAACAACTGCTTTGTTCAAAGACGTAAGGCCCCTCAACCCCCAAAGCCGACAGAACCTTGAGAAGGAACCCTAGTTAAATTAGCAAGGTCCCTCTTCTCATGCAGCAGGGCCACCTCAAGCCCAGCAATGTTTAAGCATTCGAGTGAGTTCAGAGCATACCAGTGGCAGACGCCTTTGGCTGTCCATGCCCCGTGTACCATACTGAATATCGGGATACGATCAATTAGAAGATCCCCTCCACCAGAAGATCATTATATCATGTACCCCTGAACGCGCAGATTTCGGACCAACAGGCCAACCAGAAGGTCAAAGCCCTGAATGCCACTACTGGCAAACAGCGCCTGAGCATTCAATGCTTGTGAAAGCTTTCATTGTGGGATCTTTATGAACGTTAGGGGGATGCAGTTCTCAGTGTTCTTGGGACGGTAGGCATGTCTTTCAATTACGGTTTCCGTCCGACAGGTAGATGAATTCCACCAAGCTTCAGACAAGCTGCCAGGTGCAGGCGCTGTTTGGAGATGGGGGTCTCGTGAAATGTAGCGGCTGGGGACTTTAACAGACAAACCAGTCACTGGACATTGTTATCTATAGCATATTATTCCATGTATAATATACAATACCAGGCTGATGTCCCAGATGCCCCAAACTCGCGAGCTTGAGGCTCTGGACCTTTTCGCCAGACACTGCGGTGTGGAACTTCGAGCCCCTTTTCGTGGATCAGGCGCAGATGCCCTAGTGGCTTTAAGAAGAGGCCAAGGCGACACTGGAGTGCCGGTTCATCTTAACCAGGTCTTGATATAGTTCAGGGGGCGATCTCATACTTGAGGAATGTGAAGTTTCGCCGCCCAGGGTTCGCAGCAAAAGGACTTGACAAATCAGCCCGAGTTGTTGACTTCTAAAGGCCAACTTCCTGCCTCTCGTCTTTGTCCGCCCCCGTCGAAAAGTGTAGCAGGATGGTGGCCAGGCGAATCTGTTGGTACATGGCATGTTGGACGCCGGACCTGCCGACACAATTATGCTCATTGTTATTATTATCGTTATTTACTATTCTCTGGAAGGACGACTTCGTTTTCCAAGACATGACCGGCAAGGTCTACAGAGCAACTGGGTCCTCTAGCGTTGGCGAAGGTATGGAGAGTCACAGGCTTTAAGGCTGTGTGGACGAGAGTTGTGTTGTTCTTTGTGGTGTTGAGACTGTTGCAAGCTGTTTCGCGATGCTGCATTTCTTTCCCACAGTAGGCACGGTTCTCTGAATGATGACGAGTTGCATCGAGTCCAGACAGTGATCTAACGTGAGTCGCCAAATTGGTCAGTGCATCTCAGAATTGGCATGAATTAGCACGCTCCTGTTTTTGAGTTTTGAGCTAGTAACTTGCACCAGCCGCGAATGATGGGACATGGCGTTGAGACATGCCTTGTCGCTTCGGTTGTCCATAGCGGCTGCACTGAGATGGACCTGCACACCGGCCACGTGCTGTGGAAGACCGGTGGCAAGGACTCCACTCCGGCACATATTATGAACAGACATGGTTTCATGCCGGCTGATCTGAAAGCTTGTTTCTGGCATACGGCTCACTGAATCTCGCGCGTCCTTGAAGGTAGGCACCTGGACCGATGGCAGTGCAACCGTGGGAAATGGCATGGTTTTCGCAGCCTCTTGGAACTGTTTCCAATGTTTCTGCAGGCACGAAGGCGCAGGTTAGGTTTTACTGTTGCCGAAGAGGCTCTCCTAAATCGCTCCAGCAGAAGCTGTTTCCCCGTGCTGCTCCGTTCCGAAATGCCTGGTCGAACAGCATGCAGTGATGCCCTCACTTGGTAGAAAGCGTAAAAGGCTGGGAAGGAAGTCGTAGCTATGATCCGAGTTCAACTGAACGGCGCATTCGCTACTAGAGACACCAGAGCATCAGTGTGCTGCGCCGCTTGTCCTTTCCAAAATCGCTCGACCTGAAAACCTGAAACCGCTTCAAACCCCAGCCCGCTCTCAAAGCCCTGAGGTGAACAACAACCACCTGCCTCCGAACAATGGTGTGAGCGAATACAATCCTGGCACGCTGAGCGCTTATAACTTGAGCAGCCTGGCAATCCGTTATGCTATCGCTCTATAGAGAGAAAACTTCGGGTTTAGGGTTTCCGAGGTTTGGGCAATTTGGTTTAGGGTTTAGGTAAAAGGGAGTTTAGGGTTTAGGTTTGGTTTCGCCAGGGCAGCTGTCGCTTTCGACGCTAATTTGCCAACATGCTGCAACAATCTTTTTTCCCGGAACGTCTAAGTGTTTGTTTGGTAGGTTCGGGTTCGTGTGCCCGACCACCATTACAATGCACCACTACTGATTTCGTGGCGTCAGGGGCTGCACACGGCTTTCGTGTCGGTGTCTTGCAGGCTCGGGTGTATCCGTGTAGCGAAGTGCACACTGCAGCTTTGGTGACCCTCAGAGTTCGATCGTTCAAGCGCACACACACACACAAACACACACCCGTCCCATCACGCAACAGCTCGTCTCAAGGGCCCAAGTCCTGCAATAGTGCTTGTGGTTCGAGACCCGATCGCCATTCGGACCCGGTGTCGGTCTTGAGGAGTCACGTGCTGTTCCCTTGAAGGTTTTCACAAGTTACATGTGCTACCTTCAGTTTTGTGTTTTTTGCTTGTCTGCCAGCCAAAGTTCTACAGACTGCATTTGCATACGTTGACCGTGCCTCACTGGGTAATTGCATACTGGGGGTCTCATGTTGAGATGCCGTAGTTCGTCAATGCCGTGTAACAAACAATGAAGCAAGCTACCGTGTTAATTATCTAGAGTCAGTGAATCGATTTGGGAGTTAGATATTGATTCTTCACTAGCTGCACAGACCAGCGAATTTGCGCATGAAAGCTAACCGAACCAATTGGCCGGTCTTTCATATAATACCCAGGTTTGAAGAAGCCTGTTGGGCGGTAAACTTGTCTGTCTTTCAGGAAGTAGACCTGCTGAGCGAAGTGTTGATCTGTCGGGGTAGTTCAGAGTTTACACAGGCTCGGGGGTGGTCAGCTTGGTGTTGGATTCTAAAGCTATAGAACCTTCTGTGGCAACGCGGGGGCCTCAAAGAAAGAAGGCTTGTTCCTGTCTTCCCATGCGTTCTCCACCGTACCTGTTTGTATGCCAGTAGTTGTTTATGCTCCATGGCTTTTCGCGCTGGTAAACATAGGGGCGATGTGTACAAATGATACTGTAGCTACTGCAGCCCACGCTGATGTGACTAAGGTCACCTACTGCACGCACACACGGATGCCGGCATCACGCAGTGCGATGTTTGAACGCACATGTGGATCCAGCTATCGGTCTATCTATCTATCCTATCTATCCTTGCAATTATCTGTCTGTCTATCTGATGATGTATCCTATGCACAAGTAGTTATGCAAGCTCACGACTACAGAGACGGATACTCTTAGCTGAGCTGTACGTACGTATGTATGTAATGCACATATGTTTGTAACTGTATGTATGCATGCAGGCACGCATGTAATGTGGTCTGGTGCAGCGTAAAGCAATGCAATGTATTGTAATCAAACGTACAGCATCAGCATCTTTGCAAGTATATGTCTATGTGTCTATGTATGCGTGAATGTATGTGCCTCAACCTGTTTGCATGTAGGTAGGTATTTGTGTACCTGTACATGCGGATACACACACAAACATATATACGTATATGCATATATACATATATACATATATACATATATACATACATACATCTATACATACATACATACATACATCCATGCATACATACATACATACATACATACATACATATATATATATATATACATCATATAACGTTTATGTATAGAGCACATGCACCTACGAACTACATATGTGCCGTTTGGACTTATCATGTTCACTGCAGTAGTTCTTGACAGACATACCCCCTCGCGATCAAACACCCGTTTAAACATATACACACGCCTGTGTATACACCGCATGCATGTATCTCATCGCACGGACAGGCGCGCAGACACGCGCACGCCTATCGGTATGCATGTGTATATGACATGATATAGCCTTCCGGGCCTTACATTATATAGCATAACATTCCATGCCGTGCCATAAATGCATCATGCATGCGTTCAGAACTCATATATGCAAAAGTATATCGTACCGTGTTCTGACTTTCTGATAACTCCAGAGATGCAAACAGGGGCATCTTTGCCCAGATGATCCAAAAGTGTACGATGGAACCTTGCACTTGATGATCCGACGAAGCGAACGGACCTTCAAAACACAAAAACCGGAATAATGAGACGTTCTACTCTTTAGGGTGCCTTGTTTTGGTTATGGTAGGCTGCATTGCCAAATAGCCTGTACTAATCATGAAGGCTCTTATATCATCACTTGACCTCAGGTACCGGCAAGCTTGTCTGGAAGGAGGTGACTCCGCGACCACCCAACAATGCCCCGGCTGTGGGTAAGTTGATGCCGCTCGTTTGGCAAGAGCAGTTTCTTTACTTCGAGGTTCATGTTGTTAGGTAGTTGCGAGGCGATGTACTTTAAGCAGCTCAACTGGAGCTTGTTGCGAGGTTTTTCTCGACAGTGGAAGGGTGGGTACTAGGCCCAAACGACTCTGGCAACACCTGACTGCTGGGTTCTCATTCACCCAGAGATTCCGAGAAAAGCGGAAACAAAACAAACTCAACCTTTGTGAGCCACGAAACCCTCGACCTGCAGGAATCTGGACGGCATGTCCGTGGTCCAGCCGTTATGCCAGCAAGTCATGCAAGGACCCTTCGAGTTTCGTGCCTCGGGGGATTTTCGGGTCCTGCAGGATCAGCTTTGCTTACGCTTTCATGGCAAAGTCGACAGCTGAGAGCTTGGTCTCTCACCTGCAATTCCGGCGTAGTAGCAATGGTACTAGTACTAGTACCAGTAGTAGTAGTAGTAGCAGCAGCAGCAGCAGCAGGAGTAGTAGTAGTAGTAGTAGTAGTAGTAGTAGTAGTGGTAGTAGTAGTAGTAGTAGTAGTAGTGTAGCAGTAGTAGTAGCAAGCAGTGTTATCCTATACTGGAGGTCCTCAGCGGAGCCCAAGTCTTTGTCGTTGCTATTGCTAGCGCGGGCTCTCGCTACAACCCTTGCCGCTCGTCACCGTTATGGCCATCGCCACCATCACTGTCGTCAACATCGCGATCAGCACCAGTGCCAGCCGAAACATCTTTTTGGTCGTCCTTATCATTCGGGAATCATCATCATCACCAGCAGCAGCACCCGCATCATCCTGACCATAAATCCGTTGCATCATTCTCGGCGTCAGTTCTGCGCGCTATTTACCCATTCATGTCGTGTGACCCGTCCCAAATATCATGGCTTTGTGCAGGAGCGCACTGTGACGTTCACGTCTACAATGCGGACACAGGAGCGCTGCAATGGGCTCCATTTCCCAATTCAGAGGATGCCGTGGAGGGATCGACTTCGGGGGGCACTAGAAAGTCGATTATGCGCGTGTTTGAATTCGTCTTCCGGTCAGAAAGAACCCGGCTTCGATAAAAGCATGATACAGGACTCCTGAGGATCACCCCGGATTCTCTCGCGAATGAAAACCCGTTCACAGCCTCCGAGGGTGCATTTGCAGTCGCTTTCTTGTAACATGAACGGATGTTCACTCGAAGTTAGCCGATCTTGTCATCAAAGTGTACCAAGTCAGGCAAGGACTATTTGTCAACAAAGCAACATGGGCACCATGCAGGCAGTGCGTAATTTTTTTTAGTTTTAGCGCCCCAATTTACGGAATTCCAGAAGTTAAAGCCACGCTGTGTGTCAGCCGCGCTCCGCAATCTCAACCGTTTAGATCTTAACGAAGGTTTTCCATGGACCTGCACAAGCAGGCATTCTGCAGGCAGGACCGTCGGGGCGAAATAGTGAACCACAGCCGTGATAAGGACGACACACTCCCAAGCAGTCTTCCAGTCCCCTCATCTGTACAGCACCAACGCCGCTAGTTAGGAAGTCCAGCGCAGAAATGCGCTGAACACACGCCAAGTTGAGAGGGTGGGGAACGCGCATGGTAGCAACGCTCAGGGGCCCTCGAATGCATTGCAGGGTGGAGATCAGGAAGGATTCGAAGACCGCCGATACATGGGCATCCGCGAAATGTGCCTGCCAAACGGCTGGAGCGCGGCTTGCCTGTGATGTATAATGTAGCGGAAGGGAATATAATTACCCATCCTATTCCTTGGGGTTTCTTATCGTAGGAATGGTACAATGTCCCCCAGCACCTTAACTAATTATTCTAAGGCCCCTATAGTTCGTCAGTCTCATCTAGGACGGCAGCTTTCGGCAAGAGTTGGTGGGCATGGGCGGTTGACTTCCGCCTTAATTATACTTGTGCTGGAACTAGAAACTGAGTGCGGCCCCTTACCATAGAAGATGGTTGCTGCAGGCACCTCGCATGGGGGTTCCTGTCAAGGAAGTTTACCAACCACCGTGTGCCGCAGTAGGGGCAGGCCATTTCCCCCACATTCCCCTACGAAACCATCCCGACAGAGGTGGGGTTGTAGATGCGACAAAAATGCTGCCGCTTGAAATCGCATCTAAGCCCTAAGCTTTATTAAGCCGCTCCTCAGATTTCAGAGTTTGAAAGTTGATCCGGAGCCAGGGGCCAATACAGGAGTTCCGACCGCTATGAGACCACGAGTGATGGAAGGAAACAGTAAGTAAGAACAGAAACTTAACTCAGAGGGCAGCATCGTCATCATTTTCATTTTCGTCGTCGTAAGTGTTCCTTCAGTAGTTTCAGAGTTTCCCTGAACTATCACAGCTTAAGAGAACCTTGGCCTGGCTGTCTTATCTGATTCCCTTGACCAGACCGCAGCATCCGGGCAGATGGCACATCACGCAAAGCACTCACACTGAGTCTTGCAAACCGCTCGCTGTGGGGTCACCCGGTGCTGCTGATTGATGACTTTGGACGCTGCTATTCCCGCTGTTGTCGGGATGGTAATTTTAGGGCGAAAGCCCTTGCATGGAACCCACTAATCGGGCGCTTTCAGGCACCAACCATCGATGCCGATGGCACTGTGTTTGTTGGCCACGAAGCGCCTCAGCTGGCAATTAGCACTGGGCATTGCTCTTTGGGCGAAGGTTTTCTGGAATCAGGGCCAACAATACTTAAAACTTTGGCGGGAATAGCAGGGTTTCCGCACCTGCTCCTTGCTGGATGCAAAGGCAAGCGGGGACGGCGGTTCTGGGGCTCACGAGTTATGCCATACCGAGTCGTGCCCCAGCATCGGCTTAGTTCCAGCCCGCAACGCTCCCCAAACGGCCAAAATGTGAGCGGGACAACGAGGGCTACAAACTGAGCATGCTCTAGGATGGGCAGTTTTACGCTCTTCGCGACGCGAACGCCGATGGTGTGATCTTCGGCGATAACGAGGTGGGATCTCACATGTCGCCTGGCTTTCGCGGGTTCATGCTGAGCTTCGAGTTGGTGTCTCGGCGTTTTAAAGTGCCATAGCACTTCTATGAGCATTGCACAGTCCCAGAGGCCTGGGACTCCTAGACTTCAGACTTCGACTCTGTGAAGGCTGCAGAATCCCAGTGTTCGAGCGAAGGGTGGCTTTGCTGCCACCCCTCTTGGCGCTAGGCTTTCGTGCACCCACAATTGTACCTGAGCATAAACGATTGAGACCTATCCCATTGCAGGGATGTCACGTTTAAAAGCTGACTGATCTTCGCCTTCGATGTCGTTTCTAGCAGGCTGCGACATTCGTTGAGTGGTATGCGTATGCCCACAGAGTTTCAGACTTGAGTGTTACAGTCAGGGCTCGCCAGTTGCCCTCCGTCCTGCACCGACGTGCCCTGGAGGTGCAGAATTACAGCACCGGATCGGCCTTCTCCGGCTCCTCTTCCCCATCTGTTGGGCCAGGTCGGACTTTTGCACACCCCGTTGCGGCCCGGATCCACAACCTTTCTGAGAGCTTCTATGTTTCATGCAAGTTTTTAGTTTATCAGAAAGGCATAGGTACGCATGCTGGAAAGATTGAGTCGTCACTCCTGAGTTCTTTGTGTGACCGGGTCTGACACCACTTCCCCAATTATGGGTTACCAGAACAGAACATGCATCCTTCCAAGCCTCTGTCATTGCATTGCTTCAGTCTGGCTCGGTGTGCCTGTTGTCAGTGTTTTGGTGTTTTGGACCCAGTGCTGCATCGAAGACCTTGATGCTTCACAAAGGTGTCATCACAGTATCACTGCCAACATTTGCACGCCGGCTATTTGCTACATATAAGATTGACACCGCAGGCATTATGGCAATCGCAAACTGCGACTCGCTCTACGTGTTCAAGCAGTGATCCGGGCCGCTGCGTTACTGCGCTGCAAAGCCCATGTGCCCGTGACTATCTCAATCACTGGAAAAAAACCTCAAGTTCCTGAGGAGTCTCAAAGCGGACGGCATATAGATTGTTTGTACATTCTCGAAGGCGACGTGTCGATTCCGTCGCTCGGGCAGTTTCTCGCAGAAATTAAGTAGGAGGAACGGGGGCTTGTCCAGAAGCAGCAGCCAGCGATCCCGTCGAGTCAAAAGAAGCAAAAGCCCGTTCGCATGTGCTGGCTGATAAGACTAAGAGAGGTTTTCGGCGCACATTTCTGGAAGACCCTTAGAGTGCTAAAGTGGGAATGACATGAAGCTGGAGCTAGAAGCCCCGACTTAGACACAGCACGTATCTTCGAGATGCCATGACCCTCGCAGGGGCGATTACCGGGATGACGCCAAGGAGACCAGCAAGCCCATTCCATCGAACCTTACTTTTCCACCTACTGTGTGATTGCAGTTGGTCGTGCTCGACATACCTTTAACCGGAACGTAAACGAATTTGGCTGGTACTATCAGCACATGACATCAAGCACCAAAGGAGCTTCTGTTTACGGCTCTCTATTGAGGGTCTCCTTGGGCGTCGAAGTGTCATGGCGTCAGTCTTTAGCAACTGCTCTACACTTCCAACAACGGTGTAACCCTCACCTCAAAATTAGACACGGCTGGCTGCATGCCTTGCTCCTCCCAACTCACAGTCTCGAATGAAGACCTTACACTCCAAGCCCTCTATCGGTGGAGAGGGAGAGAATTACTACATGCATACGCGCATGCATGCATAGGTAAGCTGACTGACAGACATATTATATATATATATATATACACACATATTTTTCGCACGCGCGCAACCATGCCACCTCGTCCACTAACCAGTTGGCTGCGCCGGGCGCATCACTGGCTCGCAAAGCCGAAGCATGAGCTCGGTGCCCAAGGTCTTTGAGGGGTGAACAAGGACTTGAGCATCTAACTTCAGGATCAGAAGCTGCGAGGCAAGCCTAGTCTTCGGAGCACCAGGCATTGTGATAGGGGTTCCCTGTCAGAACAATCAAAGTGACTTGAATTCCGCTTGAGTGCTTCATCCTTCCCTGGCCAGGCGACCAGGGATCACAAGTAAGCTCCTTAGCCTATTTTTTGTAAGGACCTACAGCTTCTGCAGCCACACTTTGATAGGGTTCCCAACAACCGGCTAAGCAAGCTTTCGAGCATCTTCGAGCTAAGACAGTCCGCTGCTTGAGCCGAAGCACCGTGCTTCCTGCCCACTGCAGTCCCCGAGGCGCAACTACTACCGGTTCATGAGTCTTCCTATGGATTCTTCCAAGGAGGACATCAGGCTCACAGCATGTTTGGCTTTGTGCTTCCATGGTTTCTCTCGGAAGCCTTTGCTGCGCAGACTGGTGCATCTTGGACAGGAAGCAGTATCGACGCCTTTGTCTGCTCGCAGCCTCAGACACAACTTCCAGGGCTTTCGAAAACGAGAGGGATGCTGGATGCAGTGTGCACGGGCTTAATTCTGTGAAGATGGAGGATGTGGATTGCTAGAGACCATGCTTGGGCAGAAGGATATATTATCCTCGGGATCTGATGATGTTCGCTGGTGCCACATGTGAAGTCGTGAGCCTGCAATTCTTTCGGACTTATGCCTTCACCCAGCGTCCCTGACAGAGCCTTCGCCTCAGGCTTTGGCATCCCGACAAGAGCGGTGAAGAGTCTGAGAGCGACAGGCTGGCCAAAAGAAATTCTGGACGTTCAAACATCCGAAACCTGAGTACAAGGACACAGCTCAGGAGCTACCGTCACTTTGGGTTGAAGTTTAGGGTTTTTTTTTTGAAGCGTCGGTTTGAGCCTTGACGACTGGGCAGCGCTCGGGTCATGGAAGCAGACCATGACGTCCTAAATGCAAGGCGGAAACACAGCCCTGCTAAGCTTCCCCACTCCTGCATACGCCTTCATGACTAGCCATGCCGTCTGCAATGGGGAGTTGGTGAGGCCATCGCAACAAGGATAGAAGTGAAATGTGCAACATCGCTTCGACAGCTACAACAGCAAGGGACGTCCACAAACACATTCGGGAGCTTTCGCCGTCCGGGGAAAGAATGCCAGACCCTGCCCTGCGAACCGAACGCCCTCCACAAGGATGCCGCACACATCGCAAGGTGTGAGAGTGTATAAACCCTAAACACCCTGAACGTCCTGCAGGGCTCGCTTTGAGGAGCTTCAGATGGCCCATCGGCGCCAAGCTCAGTTTGGATTCCGAGTCTGAGTGTTGTGGGTCGGGCCGAGGAGGGTGTTTGGATTTATGGTGCCGCGCTGCATGTTCTGGTTAACATCCATGGAGACCAGATGCAAAAAAGGGTGTTGTGGCGCAGAGTTCAAGTTTCTTTAGGGTGTAGGTCTTTGGGAGGCGGGCATGTGCAAGTCTGTGCAAGAAGGGCTTTGGAATTGCAGCTCGCATCCAGCATCAATCAATAACCTGGCCAGGGTATTCAGAAGGTACTGCAGCATCTGCTGCGGGATCATGGACCACAAACAGCATAACAGTGGGTCAAGGTGGCCCGTGTATTGACATCACCGTGATGACTCTGAATCACCGCAGGGCACCACAACAGCCCTCACCGCAGCTTCACCATGAAACCACGTCTTGCAGCATCGGTCTCCTGCAATGTGTGCCCCCAGCGTGTCGCAAGACGAGTTGATGTGCAAAATCTCACGGGACAGAAGGACCTCTGCAAGGTGTTATTCTACCGCCCCGACAGCCTTTGGCCCTTTGAGGTTTTTGCTGGACGACAGCCAACGAGAGGACGGG